ATCTAGGTGGTGGAACCTTTGATGTAACTATTGCTCGAATAAAGGACAAAGTGTTTGACGTAGTGGCGACTGGAGGAGATACCCATTTAGGAGGTAAAATAAAATAAAATTGTAGTGATGACAACATGGAAATGCCAATTGTTTATGTATATGTACGTTTTTACTTTAAGAACGTATAATAGTCAGACAGTTATTTATAGTTTGAAGCATTGTATTATTTTAAAGTTTCTTGTGCCTGACCATGTGTGATTGAGAAGTTAAAAAATTCAAATTCAATTCCATTACCAACACTTCTCATCCGGTTTGTTTTATTCTGATTGAACAACGTTCAAATGGAAAAATTCAAAGGGAAAAATTCATAGCCAGTAAAATGTACTGATGGTCACCGGTGGCCCTAAATGTCATTGCCCTAATCAGAGGATTAGAATCACGTTATTCAATGTTCCATAATGTAATAATATAAGACAGCAGTACTTATAAAGAAAACATTCTTTTCCATCCAATGCATGATGGCAATAAATAGATATCAGATAGTTTATAGGGTTCCGAAAACAACTCAAAGCCTGACGGTATTAATCGATTGATTTGATATTGTATTGTTAATTATCCGTTTAAAAACTAATAATTAAGTTTAAAACGAACAAATTTCGTGTCTCAGCTAAAAGCTATTAGTCATTTCATGCTGTTGACTGCTTTTTCTGACGCTTGTTTATGGTGAATGAGTGAAAATCCACCACAAATTCACCTCAACGAGTTATTGCATAAATATTTTTATTGATAATGTTGATGAAACAACATTTAGCGGACGTTTTATAGATAACCCTGTTTAAAATTTGCTGAGTGATTTTAAACGGATTTCTCTTGAGTTTTCAATTAGTTGCAAATTGGTGTATTAATTCCAATTAATATAAGTTTGATGTTGTTTCCTAAGTCATGTATATTTGTCCAGTGATTGCATTCTCAACTTGTGGAATTGACGTACTCAAATTATTGTGGTCTCTTGGTTTTGACTGTGTGACCGAACTGAATCTATTAAACCGCAACAACAAAAAAAAATATTAAATATAACTGGCTCCCATTTAGTATTCGGACTCCAACTTCTTGTATAAAGACATTGCTACCAAATTAAATTTGTATATACTCGAAACAAACTTATTTATGTAAATTCAGTCCATCGCTGTTTTTTTCTTGGTGGGGAGGGGGGGGGGGGGGGGGGGGGGGGGGCATATTGACTGCTTCATGTTGAGAATATTCTGTATTTACTGACAATTGACAATTTTTATAATTTTTATGATAGTTTTAGATCCACAGTAACAATGCATTTAACAATATTGCTCTCTAGCAGTACCTAAGTTATTTGTATACTAATTCTTCAATTGTGAGTTGATGTGCCAGACCTTTATAAAGTAAATATTCTTTTAAAAACAATGTATGCAGTTGGAATCCAAAATTGATATACAGAATGTACATTTGCACAAACTCGAGTTCAATCAGAAATTCAGCTAGTCACTGTATATGACTACTGGGCCGATGACTCGATTCAATAACTACAAAATGTCATCATCGGAATCATACTATTAGTTCCAGAAGTATGAATGAAGTAAGATTTTTGTGGACTAACTGATAGTTAATATTATTTGACGCCCAAGGTACGAGGTGACAGATGTAATTGCAAATTTTATACGTTTCTTCAATTTTTCTATCTAATTTGGACAGGCGAGGATTTTGACAACGCCATGGTCAAACATTTTACTACTGTATTTAAACAAGATAGCTCAATTGATATTGCGTCTGACAAAGGAGCAATGGGCCGACTTAAAGTAGCATGTGAACGAGCAAAACGGATACTGTCCAAAAGACTTGAAATAAGGTGATTAGAATTATATATTTGAAGGGTTGAAAGTATAACTAAATACATTCAAGTTTGGCATGGTGAATTTTTCTCAGATTAGATATGAAGTTATTCATATATTTCGTAATTTCGTTATTCATATATTTCATATATTTCATATATTTCGTTGAATTAAACCTTTTCAATGTTTTCAAGTAATATAGCAAAATGAACATCATGAACAATATATTTTAAACTCTCGGATGAATGTCGGAAACTCATCACAGATCACATAGCCTAAGATTTTTGCAAAAAGCATTGCGGAAAATCAAAGTATAAAGACTTTAAAGCAGTGTGACCACCTTCTAATAGCTTATAACACTCATGCCCCCTGTGTATCAGTCCAGTGGCAGCTTAAGTGTTACATTGATTGATCGATTCCTAATCCCATTGTGTTCAAAGAAATCCTGCTCAACTAAGTCAGGGGTGGGCAACTTCTCTAGTCGGCGGGCCAGATGTGAAAAAATAAAGCCCTCGGCGGGCCGGATTATTACAAAAAATACTTTGGTATCCAATCTTTGTTAAATGCTCGACACTCTCTGTCAACTTTACGTTTCTTGGGATATTCCATGGTTAATAAAACTAAATATGAAATCTAATTTCTAAAAGCTTTTCATATTTAGGTTCCAAATATATATAACTGATAACAGTAATGGGGAATGTTTACAACGCTCTCTGCTCTGACCTTATAATGTTTGTTTAAACAATTTTTTGTTCACTAAGGCAATTGTTTATTTCACCAGCTTGCACTGACAGTGCGGTGAGAGTAGAGCGATCGGCAACATTCATGAATGATGCGTCGGACCACATTACAGAGTGTGGTTGGGTGCAGTCAGCGGGCAGGTCAAAATCTCGTCGTGGGCCGGACCCGCGGGCCGTATGTTGCCCACCCCTGAACTAAGTGAAAACATCCTAAGAAATAACTTTATCAGTCAATGAAATTAGGAAGAACACAGAGTTTTTTTTGTGAGGTCTTCTTGGCGGGCCACGAACATCCGGTTGGAAACCACTGCTTGATAGGTTGCTCGTGGCTGTGACTTTGTGCCTTTTCTTGGCTTTTTAAAATTTACGGGCGGCATACAACCTTGTTCAAAGCGAATTGTGGATAGAGACAAAACTCTATGTGGATGGAGTCTGAGTTTATTATATGTAAAAAAAAATGATTTCAATCTGGCATATTTTAATTTTTAATATTTTTGTAAATAGAGTTGTAGTTGATGCTTTGAGTAACGGAAGGGACTTCAGCAGTGTAATCAGCAGAGCTAAGTTTGATGAGTTAAACTACGATCTGTTTTGCCGAACTATTGATATTGTGAAAAGAACATTGAGTGAAGTAAATCTACAATCTGAAGAGGTAAGTCAGGTTACACAACTGAAGTCCGGTCGCTAATTTGGTTTTAAAACTTGGTAATTCAAACTTCGTTGGTTTCGCGGGCCACAAAATTTTAAATTCGAACAAACTATAACAAATCATCAAAATAAATGTTTTAATGATACTTTAATAAAAATGATATTGTTGCAAAAATGTTCTAGCGATATAATACAGTTTGCTAATATGTTATTACGTATACTTTATGTCAGGGGTGTGCAAACTGCAGCCCGCTTACCAATTGCAGCCCACAAGGAAAAATTGTGCGCCCGCGTAGAAGTGCGATATTTAAATGGTGTGCCCCGAAATGCGTTTTTCGTCCAGGTAATGTGGTACGTGTGAGCAATTTAATTTCTTTTGCGTGACAAAGCCTATACCAATATCCGTCTGCCACTGTCATATAAGCAAAACTAGCCAGCAAGATCATGTAATGAAATACACAATATTATGAAACCATGTTTCTCACAGAATTTGTTTGAATTCGGTGTGACATTGATTAAATAGCAGTTTTCTTTCAAAATGTATGCGTTTTTCCTCACCATTTTTAAAAGACCCTTTACAAAGTCACAAGATCAATAACAATTTTTTGTGCGTCTAATTACTAGGAAGGCTATCTTAAATGAAAGCGCGTCTCACGGCTTCACTCAGTTACATGTATCTGACCTTTTTGTAACAAATAAAAGCTGCACACTCCTGCTGTATGGCATACAGTGCAATTTTCGCGTAGGTAAATATATTATTCATAAAAAGCTCATGACCCTGTGTTCAGTTGCATGTATTTTAGTCAATATTATAACTCACTACGAAAATATTGATATGAGATTTTTACGTTTTAATTACAAATAAATTAGTGTAAATTCATGTTCATATATATTTTCAATCTATTGAAAAAGTTTTATCTTTATGTTAAGAAATTTTAAAATATCAGTCATAAAACTTGAAAAGAGATAAATTATATTATTATACTAGCAATTTGCTAACCTGATAGTTTTATTGATAGTCGTAACACTTATTGAATGCCTGATAATTATCAGACTGGAGTATTAAATATTTTCATTTTCAAAAATAATAAGGACTTATTATTAAGCTCAACCACATAGCGAACCACGGCTCCTTGTTCGTTAAACAGATAATATTATTGTTGGAAAATTGTTTGAGAAAGTTATAACCAAACAGTGGTTACATAAAGTCAAACAATGCCGATAATTATTCCACATGACATCAGAGGTGGAAGTACAAGCATGTTCAAATGCTCTACATGATTTGGCAAACTCTGACCCATATAAATACCTAATTAAGGTAGATTTATTAAAGTAAATTGAAGTTTGTTGGTAAGACTGTATTGTATCAATTACCTGAGTGGAAATTGTCACTTTAAAGTTGACATCCATGTTAATTTTACGACGTTGAATTATCAATTTTTTATTTTTTTATCAAGATAGATGAAATTGTCCTCGCCGGGGGATCCACTAGAATTCCAAAAATTCAAGAACTTCTGCAAGATTTATTCAAAAATAAGATCTTGCGAAGAACGATAAATCCAGACGAGGCGGTCGCATGCGGCGCAGCGGCATTTGCAGCAAATGAAACTTCCATTGATTGCAACTCAAAGGTCGCAATTTTCGAATAATTTTAGTCAACTTATTCATTATATAAACTTGATATTTTATCTGGGTTCCATGAGTTGAAAATTAAATTCAAATAAAATAAACTCTGCTAATTTTCAAACTAATATTTTAGATAGAAAAGTTTACTCTGAGCGATGTAACACCTTTGTCCCTGGGAATTGAAGTTTCTGGTGATAGAATGATGTTCATGGTTAAAAAAAACACCAAGATTCCAACTCGTAAACGTGACACCGTTACTACAAGTTGTGATTATCAAAAGAGCATAAGGTTTTCGGTGAGTGTAAAAAATAAATATTAAAAAAGAAAAACAAAATAAACTAAATTTATGGATCTTTTCATAACACAAAATAGTTCAAATATGCCAATACTAATATTTTTGGAATACTTAAAGTAATTTATTTTTGATTGTCCAATTGTCCTATTAGCTGGTTGTGGTTGGGTAATGATTTATAGTTTATAATGACGCTGTAAGATAGTTATTCCCAAAACTTTTGGCTATTCAACAATTTGAAAATTCAATAAAAGTTAATATGCGGCAATGCGACTCCCATTTAGACCCCATAGAATGTGCCGCAATTTGCGCTCTAAATCCTAATAGAGTTAATCTCAATTATTATCTCGAAGTCAAAAAAAGTAATTTTTAATACGATTATGTAATAAAATTATTTTACAGATCTATGAGGGAGAACGGCCGTGTATAAAGCACAACAACTTATTAGGGAGTTTTGCTATTAACGATATTCCATTGCAACTCCGTGGAATTCCAAAATTTTATGTTGTCTTCGAAATCGACAATGATGGCGTACTTGAAGTTGAGGCGTACCAGCAAAGCACCGGATTGAAGAACAGTATAGTCATCTTGAACAATAGTGGTCGATTGAGGGAATCTGAAATTAATCGAATGGTATTTTTCATTAGAAAAATTGATAAATGCATAGGTATTTCTGAAGTAGAGGTAAGATCGTGCCCTAAAAATCCTAGCCCGCCCATGGGTATTAAACCCGACCCGAGCATGTATTGACCGAGCCTAATTGACTGTATTTTCAGGTCCGAGTCCGATTTAAACCAGAAATTTCATATTTTATTTGGGAGTTCTTAAAATTGTCATTGCAAGAGTTTAGTACAGTATGTGTCGTGTTGATGAGGCAACTTCCGTTTTTTGCAGACCACGGTCTCCCGTGGCCAAAACACGGCCGAAACGCCTTATTTGAAAAAAAATCAGCAATAGAGAAGCCCGACCCGACACGAACGTAATGATTGACATTTCAGGCCGACACGGCCCGAATGTCGGGGCGGGTCGGACTCGGGCTCGGGCTTCAGATCTTAGCTCTATTCTAGAAGAAATATCATACGCCACTCACTGTGACCAAGGATCTGTTCAAGTAGATCAGTTGTTTGGAAGGGTTCCCGAGATTTTTTGCCCGGCATTGCATACGCAATTTATAACACGATTAGTGAGGTTGTGGTCATAGTTTTATAATCCAATATATTTATTTAACCTACATTGCCAGAAATATTTGAAACCCCAACGTTATTCACTAAAAATGTGCCCACTACCTAATCAATTCATTTTTTATTTTTTGAAAAAAAAAAAAATCCTATCAAATTCCTATTTGAATGCCCTCGTTTAAACATTAAAGACAAGAAATTTTATACTTCAAATTCTATCAAAATGATTCATTTATTCATATTAATTATCGTGCCGTTAAACAAATTTCAACAAACCAAATAGCATATGTTAGACCTTAAACGGCAATAATTTTCTTTTAATTCCTATACGGTATCGAAACCATTTGCTGTTTATTTATAAAAAAAAAGTTAAATTAAAGTTCGACATACTCGAATTCAATTTTTCAAAAAATGCATATTGTTTAGTGTACTATAGTTTGAATTTAAGTAACAGAATTTTTTATAGATTGCAGAGGCTGAACTGTTCAATGAATCAGACGAGAAATTTAGAAAAAAAAGCGAAGCACGAAATAATCTTGAAAATGAATTGTACAAATGGAAACATGCTGTTTGTCAACCCGAAACAGAGAACAATTTCTCAAAAGAAGAAAAAGAAAAAATTATAAAGAACTGTACCCAAATGCTTGACTGGATAGAAAGTCATAAGGTGACATGTTTATTTGAAAATGATTGTGTAATTGGCTAATTTCATATTGAGAACACACAAAATCGTAACGTATTTACCTCCCCTCAACTTCCTAAATATAAACTAATCGAAAGCACGCAATCGCACAGCAACTGTTTTTCATAACTGGTCGTCGGTTAACCTAAAAATTTTATAGTTAAATACAGCAAGCTATCGTACAAACACGAGCGCTAATAGTGTTTTTAATATGATTGAACCATGTGTCGGCCTATTAATTCAATATGATAGAAATTTAGATCTATCAAAATATTAACCTTATCTGTGATTTTTCTTCCTGCGTTTTTTTTCATTTCAGCGGAAATTCAAAAATAATCAAGCATATTGAGTTTTGATGGTGTGCGTGGAAGACGTAACATTTTTGTATTCACATATGATACGTAAATATAGCAGAAGCATCGAATTCACAGATAAAACTGTTTGTCATCGTGACCTATTCAGATGGCAGACATGTTTCTATGTTTCTTCGATATACTCACAATAAATCAAAAACCCCAACAGAGTACTACGGGCTTGCACAAGCACTACATGAGATATAACCCAGTTTTCAATAGTCTTGTGGTACATTAAGATCGGCCCACCCATTGGTAATGATTACTTTATGCCTTCCGAATGTATAATCTAGTAATAATAGGTTATTGCCTCATCTGAACGAATACGTCACAGAATTTAAAAAAAATGTTGTTGTGGATTTTGGAATTTGAGTATTTATATAAAGTTAGAATGTATAGCTGCGTAACCAGATATTGTAAGTCGGTCGGATAGGCAAGACCAGATGTATAGAACCTTATATTGACCATTCCACATAGAAAATATTCCTTTCAAGTATATAATCTCAACGAAAGAAATATTGTAAAGACCACCTGTGTCCTGGATTCATTCAGTCATTCAAGACACATTGAAAGCTTAGAATACGTTTATGACGTCACAATTTTAGGAAAACAATGGAGAGCCGGCAGTCTCTGCATCTTTTGAAGACAATATAGCTAGGCTTACCATACGTACCGCTTTAGGCGGGACTGTCCCGCTTTTTAGCGTCTTGTCCCGCCGTCCCGACAAGTCATCCAAATGTCCCGCTTTGACGTTCAGCTATTCAAGCCAAATACACGTGCATGTTCTCGATACTGTTGTTTGTGTGTAGCGCAACGCTCGCTTACTTACTGAAGTTTGTTTACCGCTAACATTGTTAGCAAACGTATCGCATGTGAAATCAATACTAATTTAGTCTATATTCGAATTATTTGTAATTCGTTAACGTCAATTCCCTTGTATGTTTCGAACTGAACCCGATATTTGGGCAGAGACTATGCGCATGAACTCTCGATGACAATATGGTCAATGATGTCAACCGGGATAGCTTTAAATAGGGTTACCATATTTTTGTGACTTCAAATCGGGACGCCTCGAAAGACAACGACCCATTAGCTGTGATTTTGTAACTTCACATTTTCCGATTTTACTACATAGGCCTACATTCTTACATTTAAAGCTGTCTTTATCGATCATATTGTTATCGAAATTTCACGCGCATATTCTCTGTCCAAATATCGGGTTCAGTTCGAAAAATAGCAAGGAATTGACGTTAACGATACCGGTACAAATAATTCGAATTTAGACTAATTAGTATTTGTTTTACATGCGATACGTCTGCCATCAATGGGGATCAGCGGGAAACGAACGCATTTACCTTCAGTAAGTAGGCTAGCGCTGCGCTACACAGAAACAACAGGTAACGGGAACATGCTGGTGTATTATGCTGGAAAAGCGGAACTTCTGGCTGACTTATCAGGACGGCGGGACAAAACGCTGAAAAGCGGGACTGTCCCGCCTAAAGCGGGACGTATGGTAAGCCTAGCTTTAAATGTAGGCCTATGTAGTGAAATCGGAAACTGTGAAGTCACAAAATAACAGCCTAAGGAGTCGTTGTCTTTGGAGGCGTCCCGCTTTGAAGTCACAAAAATATGGTAACCCTAAATATAGCCCATCTTTTTTCGATTCAAAATGTCACTGAAGATTTGTTTGAAATGGCAGATATAACGCATTTTAATAAAGTAAACAAATTGTTTCCATCACATCTTTATATATTATAGTGATGCAGAATATAAAAAAAAATGTTCTAAATATTTTTCATCAAATTTTTACTTTTGTCCCACTGCAATACAAACAAAGCCAGTTATCCCTCTCTTGGATGAAAGAACACAAAGAGACCGAAATAACGTTTCCAAAGATTCATAAATAGTGTATTTGGCATAAATAACAGAAAACATATGACGTCATATCGTAATGAAATTCCAGCTGTGGTATGACTTTCCCAATCGATGACTCGTCTCTGGTTTGGATTCAGCTTGTCAGTCTTGTTTCTTTGGAAAGGAGAGATAAAGTACTATTCACGGAAATAGACAAGCTGACTTTGATTGAAAATTCTAATTGAACAACCCATCACGGTAGGGAGAATAGCGATATTGCACTTTGGTAACCTCACGCGGAAAGAGGGCTAAAAATCCATTTCAGAAATACTTGATTGATAATTCTATAGCACGTTTGGAAGGAAGAAAATTGATTAGATAAAAGATGTCAAAAGGCTTTGAGATTGCTCGATTACAAATTGATATTGATAGTACGAATTCATTTTTAGACCGCAACCAAGGAAGAGATAGAAGTAAAAAGAAAATATATTGAGGAGATATTCAGCAAGTTTTCACTGTCGTAAAGTTTTGGAATTTGATTTTTCAAAAAACATACATAACTCAAATTAATATATAAGTGCAATAACTTCACTACTGATTCTGTTATTCATTTATCATTTCTCTTATTTATTATAATTTTGTGTGCAGCATACAATCAGTCTATATTACTTTAGTATAGTGCGGTTATCGTTTATCCACATTTATAGTGAAACTAAATTGTATCAGAATTTTCCACTCCTTGTGATTCAATTTTACTAATTATAGTTTGACGTCATTTAGAAAAAGAAAAACTATGATATACAATTTGTCCATTCGTAACATTTTCTGTCTGAATTTAACTACTAACTTCAATACCATTTGTCATATATTTATTTTTGATTACTTGAATCAGGGGTATGCAACTGCGGCCCGCGGGTCAAATGCGGCTTTAGGGAAAAAAAATTTGCCCGTGGGAAACGGTCGATTTTGAATGATGTGGGGCCCGCGGAGCGAGTTTATAATTCAATACGTGAGAGTAAATTCAATAAATATTCGTTGTGAAGTCTATACCTAAGTACAATTTGTAATCTATGTCTATTAGTTCACAATGTCTTAATAGTTAGCTTGGGTAAACAACCCATGTCAAATGATCAATAACCAACATATTTGTACACGCAATTACAAAGAGCCCATAAAGACGCGGCCCAAAATTTTCAACCAGTTGTTTCTATCTGGCCCTCCTGTATTGAAAGTTGCATTCTCATGATTTAAATTAATAAACTCGTATTTTGTAATACCATGATATTGAATCGGTAACTGTCAAACCAATATATTTGATAAATTCTATATGCATGCTGAAAATAATTCAAATTTACAAAATGTAGGATCATGATTTGAAGAATTGTAGACTTTAGAACTTTAAAATATCAAATATATCAGCTACTATAGTTTTACATTTAAAAATCAAATATCCTAAATTTTTTCCTAAATATATTTATTGTTTATATAAATGATATTCCAGAACAGGGCATTCCCAACTTTTGAGCTCGTAAACCCTTCCAATAGACTGAAAGGATCATTTGTCGAAATCTCTCACCACTGATGCAAAATTTGAAAAATACATCCTCGCCACGTTTGGATATAATAAATTAGTGATTATCAGGTCAGGAACGATTTGTAAATTTGAATTTTTGGAAGAATATGCGCATTTAACCCTAATCCAAACACTTATTGAATAGTCACTAATTCGTATTTTGAGCGGTGGTGGATGTCTTTTTGGTTGGGGCTTTGTACCAATTTTTACTGTAATTTTCCGCGACCCCTATTCACGTTCAAAATCCAAGCAACAAACAAATTAACAAATTGCAATCATTTGAGTATTCAGTGTGATGAGTGCGACTGCTGTTAGCAGGCTAGAAAGTGTCCTATTGATTGTCATTACAGGCCTGAATGCAGTTTAACGTTGTTGGTGATTGAACAAGATTTTGGTTTCGATCGCCGTCAACGTTTAACGATTAAAGGCATTGTTATGTAAGCGTGCCACTTCTCCGGTCTTACGAATTATCTCGAAATCGTTAGAACTTTGTTTTGTGCACTAGTTTAGTAATTGTATTTAGGGAATGTCTCAAAACGTACAATAAGTATAGTGATTTGTGTAAATTGGCGTACTCTTTGGCGCCTGATTAGTCGTAACCTGTAGATTGGGATGCCCTGATCTAGAATATTCTATAATTAGTCACTTCTAACTTCGCATTAAAGTTGAGCGTGACAAAATGGTAACAAGTAAATTACTGATGAAAACATTTAGAACTTGTTCCCAACCATTATCTAGCGATAAAATAACAACTGGTAAATCTTTCCATGATAATATAAATTTAAAAAATCAAACTATTGATCACCATTTCGATTTCAAAAATTTGATTATTTTGTGTGTCCTTGATCATCATGGTCACCCAACGAACATTGAAATTTTAATAGTTCAAGTGTGAATTTTTTTTTTTAATTTTTTTTTTTTTCAATTATGTGACTATGATATTGTTTATTGCTGTGAACATTTGAAATAATTCCATTTTTAATTCAGAAATTATGTTGTTATATAATGTCTTTACTTTAATAAATTCATAGCAAGTGTATGAGAAGAAAAAAAGGTAATTTCAAAATTTTTATTCATATATTTTCGGTTTATTCTATATTGAATAAATTTTATTTTGAAGCGTCATTTCTGTATATAAATATGATGTTATATTGGGATCGTTATTTTTGAGGCATCTAAGACAATTTGAAATGACTGTATTTTAAGGTATATTTCAACATCTAATTTTCTCAAATACCCAAAACATTTTCAATATATTTATATATATATAAATATTTCTGATTTTTTGTAATACATTTCTTTATATTTAGTGTCTCTGAATCCTATCGAATAAAATTATTTAATTTAAGCAGGTCGTCGGATAGTATTCTATTTCTGCAGTTACAAGAATAAGAATTTTAAATGGCAACCATTGGAATTGACTTCGGTACAACGTACTGTTGCGTAGCTGCATATACAGATGGAAAGGTATCAAAACTAAAAAATTTGATAGGTTCTCCTGTAGTATGTAAACCAAGATCAAAGACATCGAAATGTATAGTATGTGTTCCAGATTATATTGCTTTACATACAACGGGAGCACCGTATGATATTTCTCATATATGTAAAAGTAAACGCTGAATTACTCGTTAACCTGAAATTTGATTTTATTTCGGTTCCAGAAACAATACGCATTAAACTTTGACGAACTTTGTAAACATTTGTTTTAAACATTCTGACAGGTGAAAATAATTCCCAATGAACTAGACAAACCTCTGACTCCAGCTTATATTGGTTTCACCGATGTTGATAGACTTTACGGTGATGCAGCTACCCACGAAGCGTTTTTCAATATGGAAAATACTATTTATGGTAGGTAAAATGAACGATGGCAACAACTTAATCTTTAGATTTTTTTAACCATCTAATTATGAGATAACAATATAGATTGTATAATATAGAACAACACTAACAATGAAAATTAGGTAAAAAATAAAAAAAAAGTTCCCAGCAAATTAACCAAGAGCAAGGTTAGCCACCAATCTCTCAATAAACATACAAAAGAAAATAAACCCTCCATTTATTTGTATAATTTTTCTCCTAGTTTTAGCATGTACAAAACAAGAGAGCACAAAACCCTACATCGGTACCGATATCACTAGAATATAAAATGAAGCCAGTGTTAATTTTTTTCGACAGATATCAAGCTTTTGCTTGGGCGTTGTTATGATGACCCCGTAGTGGAGGAAAATAAAAAAATGTGGGGATTTAATGTCGTAAATTGCAACAATCAACTACGTATTCCGGTATGTGATTGTACAACGGAAATATTCATTTGAGATAATCAAAGCATGTCGTTCATATAATCCTAAAATATCAGTAACTACTGGAATTTTATGGCAATATGGCTGGTATGTTAGAACCAAGAATGGCCAATTCGAATATAATATTCAAACATCACGACCTATGAATATGATTTTTTGTGTTCATAATAATGCCGAATATAGCGCACACATCCTAGCGCCGTCGTCCCGAAAAATACTACAATACTTTTTTTTATTATGATCAAGGACAGACTAGTGCGCGCGTCAATAAAATACATCCGACATGATTTTAAATAGTGCCGACAGAAAGTGTATATAACACGTCGAAAATGTTTTTAATTGAAAATATTTTATAATTATTATTGTATATTTCCGCTTAGTCGAGATAGTGTTAGCGGTCAAGGTGATGAATCTAAAAGCAAATTATGTCAAAAATATTTTTTGTCCTCCTTACATGCGATAGTGATCGAACATAAATGGGAATTTTGACAATTCTTGCAAATCGCATCGTATAATGTAGCTCTTAAAAATATTCCTTTGTATCGCGGATTTTAAGTTTTCCGGTCATCGTTCATAATAATATCGTTCTGCTTGAGTTGGCGGGATTGTTTTATAAGCACGAATAAAATCATAACAACCGACATGAAAGATTTAATTAAAAGGAGTCGAAAAATAAAAAACGATTTTCGTACTCAATTCTTCGTCATAGGATGATGAAAGTTGTGGAATCGGTTTCACTCGATTAATTATGACGATGATCGCTCAATACCATTTACGTTTTTCCTGAATCAACGAATGGTGCAAAATAAAATTTAAAGCAAGTGCACAAAATGTAATTCTTGTGTAAAGGTATAATTGTGATTTTTTCAAGTCTCTTAAAACCACTAATTTAAATATTATAACGCATTTAATTTGTATTTGAAAAGTAATTAAAAATAATTTTCAGAATGTATTCGAATTATTCGATGTATGGTCATCCCTGGTTAGAACACTGCATACACCACTTTAACATTTTATAGTTAGTGATAATGACTTGAATGTAAATATTTTTAATATAACAGAAAATTTTGTCCAATGAAATACTCATTCATTTATTTTTCTTCTATTGTTGTTAGTTTACACAATATCTCGGATGTAATATTGTATCGTTTGATCCATTCCTGCCACGGCGTTATTTTATCTTGTTGCTGTATACCTGCTCCTGAATTTTACATTTATTGGTTGGAACCAATTCACGTAATATCCAATGGTTTTAAAATTTGCAATTGTTGTATACAAAATATTTCTATCTGTAAATAAATTGAATAATGTGATAATGCGCCAAATTTATATAAAATCATCGTTCTAACCTCCACAACACTTGTTTAAAATAAAGGTTCAATACCGGAATAAGAAAACTATGTTAACGGCAGATCAACTGTGTGCAATGTTGTTGGACCAGATGAAACAACAGGCCGAAATATATCTGGGAGAACGCATCCATGGTGCTGTCATTTCAGTTCCTTCCAGTTTCAATAATTCCCAGCGAGAAGCTATGAGAAACGCCGGTGCTATTGCCGGTTTAACTGTTTTAGGATTGATAAATGAAACTACGGCCGCCGCTGTTACATTTGACATTAGTAGAAGGGTAAGAAAGTTTGCACTTTCATTTTAAATAAAGAGTTTTAATATTATAATAAAATTAATATATAAATAATTTGAAATAAAATATATGGAATGAATCTTGGTCATAAGCGGGGACAATTTGATACGCCATAAATAGAGGTTAGTATCATCCTTTGTGATTCTATGCTTTTTCATGAAAATTATGATAAGAAAAACTGTTTGTTATGTCTTTCTAAAATGGAATTGCAGAACCAATTTGAATTCTATGCTTTTCATAATAAAAAATGAACTATTAGCTATGTTTTACTGGGAGGAAAGTGCAGAACCAATTTGAATGTTTGATAATTTGTCGTCATAATTTCTCATCATTTCTTAATCACTTTACTATTTATTTTTATTTCAGGTGTCTAATTCATCAATTATTCTTGTTTTTGATCTTGGTGGAGGTACATTTGATGTGTCTATAGTTGCTATTGAAAACGGCAATGTCAAAGTACTTGCAACAAGAGGAGATACTTGTTTCGGAGGTAAAAGGGGGACACAAAGACCGCCTCTATACTTTAATTTTACTTTTATGCTTTTATGCGTAGTACTTTTAATGTTACTTTTATGTGGTATTTTGTATTTTAGGAAGAAATATTGACCAGGCGATGGCTGAATATTTAGCAAATAAATATTTACACGTAACAAAAATTGATGTTAAAAAATACAAGAAAGCTTTAAATCGATTGAGAGTTGCATGCGAAAGAGCAAAAAGAAGTCTTTCAAGATTTCACAAAGCGAGGTATTAGATATATAATGAAATTATCTATTATCTATCTAATTATCTTAAAACGGCATAAAGGAGACTATCGAAATTCAGAATGTATTAAAATTGGCAATCATAATATTTTCAATTTTTTGTATGCTTAGTGTTCGTGTGGATGGGATTTATGAAAATTGGGATTATGAAGGAACTATGTTTAAAGATGATTTTGAAGACATTAACATGGAATATTTCCAAAAACTAGATAAAACTGTCAAATTGGTTATCGAGGATGCTGGTGAAGGAATCAAGGCAAGTAATTAACTTTTGTAAGCGTTGATGAGAGTAAAAGCATAAAGTTTTGCAACAAGTCATTTGAATCATTTTATTTTTATTTTTATGAAGTCATTTAAGCCTAATACCCCTTGCTTAAAATAATATCGTGCTCAGTGTAGTAATTACCTCTGTCATGCGCAAATTGTGCAATAGGAGATTTTTTCTTCTATCATAATTTCAAACCATAATTCGCTATATCACGAAATGCTATTTTCTCATTTAAATTTTCGTAACACAGATTCAGAGATACCAATAAATTCACCGACTATGAAGTAACTTTAGGTTATAGTTTGTTAAGTCCAGACCTATAGGATAGAGTAGGTGAAACCGCGTTACCGCACATATTTAACAATCACGTTTTTGTAGTTACCAATTAGCAAAAACGGTTTTTAATTTTCATTAACATGGAGGCAATTACTTTTAAGATTGACGACATTCTTCTAATTGGAGGATTAACACGTATCCCCAAAGTACGTGAAAATTTGGAAAAATTATTCAATGGAAAGAAATTAAACAGAACCATCAACCCCGATGAGGCTGTGGCTTATGGTGCTGCGTTTGTGGCTGGCAACTTCAAAACAAAAGTACATTTCTCAAGTCATTTTTCCATTCCTAACTTTTATCGAAACGTAGTTTTTATATTCAGAAGAACGCTGAAGATTTAAATCAATTTAAATATTTGTTTTTAGTTAGTCGTATCATCTCAAATTATTTTTGATTGAAATAAATGGCGCCGTCAAAAATTATTTTAGGACGGAATTTGTTTAGGAAGGATTTTTTTTAAAAAACGACAGGGGATAATTATTAAAAAAACTATTTTGGCCAATTTCTAATTTTAAATATGCCTTCAAACGACCAAGCATTTCAAACAGTAGGCATGATTTATTTATTTCATCCTATTAAATCTCTATCTACATTCCCAATATATTATGATATTTCTGAAGCCATTTTAAAGCAATAGTAGCTATTTTAAACATGGGAAGTAACATAAAAATACTGTTTATGTTAAGTTCGTATGATTGAAGAGAACATTATAATTTTATACCGTATTGTACAATATGATACTTTTATACTGTTTTTTTTCGTCCAATATTTTTCATTATATTTAACTTTTAAAGTTTAATTTTTAATAGTTCGCTTGATTTCATTTTAGGTACCGACGATTGCCGATATTGCCACATTGCCGATCGAATTGAAAATAGGTACTAGTAAGACGATAGCCATAATGAAGAGGGGCACTGAAATTCCAACACAAGAAAACGTTAAATTCGTGGTTGAAATGCGTGAATATCAATTGGGCGTGAGTATATGAGTTATATAACAAATTAGTTTCTATGAAAAACAGTTGTCACGCTTTGATTATTTTGGAAAACTTAATTAACGGCAGTTCTCCAGAATTTATTTGGAAGAATTGTTGCGCACTGTAAAAAAGTTTTCACAAATTCAAACAACTTTGAAACCAAGCTATTTCTTTAATTTTCATTCAATGAAATAAGATGATGATATCTACGTCACCAAACTTGTTTATTTAGATATACGAAGGTCATGGTATTGCGGAGGAAAAAGAAGTTCCTTCGTTTACCATGGAAGTAATTCTTGTACCTGGAAAATATGAGATATTGATTAACGTAGATTTCGGCGGCATATTGACAATGCATATACTTCAAGATAAAGGAGAAATACAATATGAAATAAAGGGAAAAAATCAATTGAGTTATTCTGAAATAATAGATATGGTGAGAATATTTGGAATAAATATCAAATTTGATAACATTTTTTATACGTTTGTGTCAGAAAATTCTAGTTTTCTCATTTGTATACTTCACAAACGCCTCCTCTGAAAGTACTAGAGTAGGATGTTTCTGTATAATTCTATAAATCTAAATACCCTTAATTAATAATTAAAATTCTGCTCGTAATCAATTTACAACATTCTTGAGAATTGACATATTATTTAGACTTAACGAAATGAAGGCTAAAACTAAATTTCATTTTTCAGTTTGTGGAGCATCATAAATTTGAACACGCAGACGAGGAATGGGGAGAACAGTGTGAATACAAAAATGCACTCGAAAATTTTGTGTACTCTATTAAACAAGCAATTAAACTTGAAAAATATCAGGAGAAATGGAATGAAGGCAAAGTGTCGCTCTTACTAAAAGCATGCGATGAAGTATATGATTGGATAAAAAATAACAGGGTAAAATATTTAAAACAAAAATATTTCAATTCCAAATATGAATAAAGATCGATATAAAATTTCAATAAATGAAATGGATAATTGTTATTGGTAATAAATATACGACACATATGGATGCGCAAATACCAATTTTTATTGTACTACAAGGTTTCGCTTTATGAACGTACCATTGCTGGTAATTGGGTATATTCGGAATATCAATAAGCAAAAGATTGAAATAATTTATATCAAAACCTAATCAACATTTCAATCAAATAGTTTTGTATGTTATCAGAAATGATTTACCTCTATAAATCACAAACTATAGTACCAAACTACATGCCGCGAACTTTAAGATCTACGAGAGTGAATTGTAACATATTTTCATTTAAAAATGTAATTGTAGTGAATATCATATATTTTAACTGTTTTGATGTTCTAAAGAAATGTGATATGCCCTTATTTTTCAGAATGCCAAATCAGAGGAATCACATGAAAAACAGAACGAATTAGCGAACTTGTGGATTGATCTCATGCACGACGTAGATAATAATAAAGCGGTATGTTGTTGTTTTTTTGCAATATTTAACTTTAGTGTTTTCAAGGAAACTTGATCAAGACAATATCATGCGCACTCACTTAGAAATAAAAGAGACTCATGGAAGTTACAAGCAACAATTGAAGTGAAAAGAGTCAATGATACTCAACAGAGATATAGTTCAGAATTACGCGTTAGTAAATTAATGCGGCAATTATTTTCTTACAATCAGGAAAACTAGCAGTTTATGTCCATTCTATATCAGAAAAACATGAATTTCACATAACTGAAATATTTAGAGAAAAAAAAAGATGTTTTTGAAATTATGTAGTATTAATATTTATTGTAATACATGTTGAACAATAGAATGATATGAGACAACACGAAAACGAAAGAAGAATACAATTTGAAAAACGCAGTCGACTAAAAGAAGAACAAATGAGAGCCTATGAGAGCGTAAGTAAAATAGTAAATATGCTTTATTTATAAGTCTTACATTTTGCTATCAGAGAAATTGTGTAAAACGTCTCAGTGTTTGTTTACTTTGAAAAAATCAATATTTGCATTTCTTTTGCTGAACTCTTTTGGAAAAAATGCACGGCAGTTTTGTCATGCACTTTTATTAAGCAATAATTTCGTGGACTTTCGATGCGGATGCAGAGGAGATGAAATCAAATTACAGTCAATTATAGAGCAATGAAATAAAATTTGATTTGTGGGGTAGAGAGTAGTAGAAAGTGATATAAATTGGATGAAAACTGACATAAAAATTAAATCATTATAGATTTGAGACGTAAGGAACTTGGAAACACATGTTTTTTTGTCTTTTGTAATGTGAAAAAAGGCAAAACTAATATGGTTCTGGATTTTGTCACATTTATATGATTTGATTGTAACAATAATTACCTTTAATTCAAGCTTGTTAAAAACAATGAAGCAAGATCATCTCTCATAAATCGACTACGTGATCATTGTCTAAGCACTAATATCAATCTTCGTGAGCATGAAACAGCCGAAGTATACGAAATTATTGAATTTACGAAAAAAGAGGTAAATTGCAGTGTTTACTAATATATTATTGTTTAACTAAAATTTACAAGGAAAATTAAATTATTCCATCTCAAATCAAAACGCCATAGAAGAATCAAACTAAAATCTAACTGAAACACAATTTTATGAACAATTTCAGATTCAAAAAGAAAAAGAATATTGGATTAGAGAAGATAGACTTGTGGAGCTGATAAATTTATCCGCTTTAAGAATGAAAATAGTGGTACTTTACTGTTTATGTGAAAAGTTTGTTTCAATATTTAATCGTTAATCTATTCTATTATTCATCGAAAACACGAATTTAATGTTTACCCTATCTTATTACGTAAACTTATAAAAACTTGTAGCAAATAACTTGCATCTTGCAATATTCTACAATATATATTATTATTTCACAGATTTATACAATTACGCTCACAAAATTGCCATATTAATTTTTTTACAATTGATAGAATATTGCTGAATCAAAATTTTCCTATATTTTTTTGGAACGTATGCTAGTATAGTATATGCAGTATTATATGCCAACAGTATTTGTAGACAATAAGTACTTTATATATAAACTTTACTAAATGGTATACTACATGCAGGCTACAAAAGCGGAATTGAAACTTAAATATGAAAAGCTAAATGAAATGGACAAAAAGCGTGTTTGTAAGGAAGGAAACATTTCAAAACGGATCGAAGAATTTCCACAGGAGTTTTCTGTATGATTTCCATTGATTCCATTCCATATTCTAGGTTATTTTTGTTGAAATTATACGTAGTATCTATAATAAATATTATATATACAATTAAATATATTTAGAATGAAACCATAGAAGATTTGGAAAAGATGCAAGAACAACTCAATGAAATCGCAAAAGATCTTGAAAAATCAATTACTCGGATGGTAAATTGAATCTGTTAGCATTATTTGATAGTTAGAAATGGAAGGGATTTATTCTAGAATACCAGATAGAAATTTTATTAGTCGCTTCCCTATGCGTATTTTGCATTTTCAAACATTTCCTCTGCCAACAAGCCCTGAGACGTTGTATTTCAAAAACATATGCTAGAATTATAAGAAGCGAGATGACGCTAAAGAGCACTTTTTCCTTTTATATTTTACTTATACGTTATAATTCTCAAATATACAAAATACGTTCCGACATTGCATTATATCACGCAAATATATGATAATATTTTCTGTTTCACTCATTTCATAATTTTACCTGTCCACCATGGTGAAAAGGTTGGGAAGCACTGTTTTAAACTACATTCTCGACAAGGCAGAGAAATTTTAATTTACGTCCTGTTTTCATTTACGAGTTTACCACCGTGCATCGATCAAGTTTTTCAAAACAATACACGAGGATGACATTGGTCACTAGAATACATGCGAAGCCATTACAAAGTAATACAATTATTGAATATTATATCTAGTATGTTTATGTATGATCAGAACGACACTCCTGGAATCCAGCACACTGCCTTCATGTCGGTTATTGTCTTTAGAAGATCGTCGGTGCATTTTCTCATAGCAGAGTATGTTACCTACGAGACTGATTGTGGTAAAAGCTTAGCTGTTCATGATTTCCGCTAATATAGTGGTTACCAATTTGAAGCACCTGAAACGTGCCTGGGAAAAGCTGAAAGACTGAGACACCCGAATTTGCCGGGCTTGTCCATGGGACATATTTTTCTGTCCCATTTCCATCCCATCCCATAGCATTTATGCCTGTCCCATCCCATCCCATCCCATCCCATAGGATTCCCATTGGAATAAAATTCAACAAAAATTATTAAACTAAGGAGTGTCTACTAAATAGGACTACATGTACGAATAGACATGTAAAACAACAAAATCTACAGACTTTGTTAACTTTATGTTCATATCTATTATACATGTGTCCATAGGACCCTTCACGAAGTATATTGTTATTGCTGAATATAATTTGCTCTTTAACTAACAAGAGCGCTATGCTCAAATATATGAACACGAAATTCATAACAAAATGTTTCACCATCATTTCCCCAAAATTCATACGGCCATCCCATCCCACGGGACGTTTCCCATGGAATTCCCATGTAAATCCTTTTCTCATGGACAAGCCTGCGAATTTCCAACCCAACAAATCTAAGGGTGGTGTGTCGTTTTACACTTTTTGTCACTTCTGGCTGTGTCGGTTTGAGCGCTAATTTTGGCAATTTGAGTTACATATGGTTTTACCATTTATGGTAGTTGGACTTTATTCACTTGATAAAGCAAATAGCTTCCATAATGTCGGCTACCCGTTCAGTGTGTGCTTTCATTTCGCCCTTGCTTTCAGAAATTTAAGATTTTGGTGTTTCTACTCCATTGAAGTATTATATTCCATGTGGTTTTCTTTTGTTAGTGTAAATATGTTCTATTTTACTGGAGTCTATCTATCTGTTACGTCAAGTTTAGTCATCTTCTTTACTAAGATGTTTTTCAGTAGAGTGAAAATTTAGTAATAAATAGTTGTCGGGAACCATCGTAGCAATTATACATTATTTGGTCACATGATATTTTAAAATAACTACAACATTCTGTTTATAGCTCCCGTGGTTGGTAGAACATAAGTTGAAACTTTACTGCGATGAAAAGACAGATGTTTGGCACTATCACATGTTGATATGCAGAACCTGCAGTTTGTGGTTTTGAAAGTGCCAAATATTTTTAACCAAAGCCACATTTTTTGCATGCGATCTTAAAAAATATAGCCGTACGATCATACTCTTTCAGATTTGTGAACTTCGAAAAAAAATCTGTTTGCAAGTAAGTGGACTTCCTCCCATTTTATATTTGCTCTTGGTCGAGGTTGATGATATTAAGTTTAGCGTATAGCAGAGTTAGATAATGATCAGTTTTCTATACCATGTGAGTTAATGTAGTTTTATAAGGTTTGAAGTTCGATTTCATTTTATGTCAACTTCATGCCAAATTTTATCCAGCATTTTACTTCCAAAATTGATTCCAGATTACATACTTCTAATTAGGTTGTATATTCTATTTCGAGGCCAATTGAATGTAATACCTAAATATAAATTTGTGTTCTACCCTACTATATATGCCTTTGGGTCATCTAGAAGTAATATTGCCTCGGGGAGGTTTTTTATCTGACAATATCTGGCAATGACATCTGAGTTGTAATGAGCATCTTCCATACGTCCTTGTTGGAGGGAAAATTTTGTGATGGCCTTAATATGCGGTCCTTTAACGGTTCCACGAATTTTATAGTCCACATTTAAAGTGGTAAATGATCGCCAATTTTTAGATGGTATATCGTTTTTATACAAGACCCTTTTTCTATATATGGAAATTTGGAAAAATGGTCGAAAATGTCTAATCCTTACTTTAATCCATTAACGCCGAGAGATCTATTATTTTGCATAGACTTTGTTGCGCTGCATATTTTGTCTTGTGTAACATATCGATGTAAACTGGGATTTTCATCCTCTGAGATCTTTATAGAATTCTTTAGAGAATAGATAATAGATTTGGTATTGTTCTTGAGTTACACTTTCCATCCTCCATAAATTTTTATAAAAGTTTTCTATATTTGACAAGATCTCCCGTTCTCCCTTCCTTGGTGGCTACAGATTGGTTATCGGTCGGTACTTTCTGTCGATATTTATAAAAGTTTTTTGTTTAATTGTACAATTTTTCTTGTACGACGAAAATAAATATCTAAATCTGAAAGCGAGATGCATGTGACGTGCACATTGGTGCAATTGTTTCGTGATATTGAATTAATGTTGTTCAACATTATTGTGTCTTCACAAATGCCAATAAATAGGCGAAGCATAGTTCGAGTTTTTGCTCCGTGGATTCCAACTAAGTGCTTATAAATTTGAATTTACACTAAACTGAAGCATAGGGAAGTGGACACTTGTGATATTCAACTTTTTGAGTCCAATTAATATCACCTTCTACGAGGGCTTTGCCAATAGGTCTTGCTTATCTTGATCTATCTTGAGTATATCTTGAGTGACGACTTCAACCCTGTTAATTTTTTTTAACTTTTCCTTCTATCTACGCACGGTTTAGATTGCCCGAATTTTTCACATCAGATTAGTATTTTTATTTCGTGCCATGTTTTTCAAATATGCTGTGGTGATTTTACTTTTAACTTTTATTGTCTAAGCATTCTCTTAACGTTTCAAAATTTACAATATCAATAATTTTGGCTTGGTGGTATGTGTGCCTGACAACGTTGATACAAGTTGTAATTTTATAAAGTTGGGTATTATTCCTCCACGTTCCTTTGCACCAGCAAACTTTTTTGGTTTGTCTCAATATAATTTTCAGGCATAATAAATAACAAGACACATGTGTTATAACCGAGATAATCTAATTTTAGGGAATTATGAAAATTCTTCGTCCTCGTGTTTTAAAGTATTATGTATAAATTGTTCGTTTGGAGTTTTTATTTTAAAAAGTGTCAAATATGTTGTTGCACTCAATGAAGCATTGACAAATTTTTCAGGGGTCTCATTTCAAAATTGTTTATTTTCACCACGTTAATCCTAACCAAAGCAATATCAAAGTCCCCCTCTAATTCTTGAAGTAAAGTGCTTGCATCGCAACAATTACTTAGTATACTTGACAAATGTTGATAAATCCCAGTTCGTAAGGGTTCATTTCGAACAGGTGCAAATACATTGAAAACTTTCACAATCGGCTTATCTGGTATGCGTATGTTGTCGAAAGAATGTCATGCTCTTGTTTTATCATAAAAAGGGTTCCTTGTTTAAAAGTTTTATAATATTTTTCGTCTTTATTGAGCGTATTATATTAAATGTTATACCCTAAATTGCCTGCCCTTTGTGTTGGGACAGCTTCTTTAACTCTATGCTTCTAGAACGCATATCACGTCATGATTTTTTTGTCGAATAAACTTCTTTAGCTCATGTAGCTGGTGTTGCACGCTAAAGTCTCCTTCGCCCTAGTAAGCTCATTTTCGCAATTCTCGACGTTTTGCAAAGCTGGGTGTAAACCATGATACTTAAAATGTTTGTTATGGTCTTGTTTGGAAGAATAGCTCATTTCCTACCCAGCAATATAAGAATGAACGTTATATGACATTCGGAAATTATAAAATATCGCTTACATTTCACGCGTGTACTTCCCGTTGCGAGAGAAAAACGTCGCACAACAACAATATAAATTCAATAAACCTTGGCGTTGCGCGCTAACCAATGACAAAAGCTATTATGATAAGGTCTTATTTTAAAATTCATTTTATATGCTACATAACATAAGAGAGTGGCCATCTCACAACGTCAGGAAGTTATAAAAATATCAAGTCGTTTGATCGCAGCTGCCTCACCGAAAAAAAGTTAGTTCACATAAGCGTTTTATCGTTCAAATTCTGCTTGTCCCACGATTATAAGCCTTTATGACATATAATAAATGTTTTATTATGACTCACAAAACCTTTCAACGCGATAAAGCACAAAAAACCGAACGATCGATCAATCATAGCCTGGCCGATTCGATGCAGTGACTTCCTCAACGAAAAATTTTCACCGCGCTCAAATGACGCGCGTTATCGGAACTGTTTTAGTATCATATCAAAGAGAAAACCAATACGCAGTCAACTGTATAGCAAATTTGAGCTTTACAAAAAAAAAAAAAAAACGTCCAACAGCTGATAGAATGAGATAGGTGGAAATACTTTTTGGTATTTTTTGACGTTTCGAGAGACCTCGTCAAACACGGGTTTTAGTTTACGTCAGTGACATCTAGCGTATAGTACTCTAAAAGACCTTTCAAATGATATACAATTATTGTATATTGAGTGAATTTTGGGGGTTTTAAGACATGTATAAAATGGGTTTACAAAATTGGGCTCGATTGCTCGTTTGGCAAGGGGTTCATATTTTTTTTTCGTTTTCGCCAAGAAAGAAAAGAAGTTTATGCTACTAGTTGGGGTGAAACAATTTGGTAGTGCACTTGCATGAATTAATAGCAAATCTTAATGAGTTATCCAAATCAAACATAAGTTAATCACAATCGTTTCACTTTTTGTTTTCATAACAGTTTTTTGTTTTTTTTATCTTATATATTGTTTTCGTCGTCTCCCTTGTTCGTTTGTTTGAGTAGTCCAAATTTGAGATTAGTGTATTACTTCCAAGTTTGTCTGGGGCTAAAAGTACCACACGTGATGTCTCACTAAAAACGGACAAACTTGTTGAGTCACGATACTCAATGTTATGCACCATAACGTTTCCGTATGCATTTCCTTTCGATGGGGGCGGGGAACGGTGGGTTGCCAATTTGGAAATTTTTCTTTAGTCAAGATCTTTAATCCTTTGGGTCATGGATCATTTAGTGGTTGTGTTAAAGGACTTATTGCGCTTCCAACATATTCAAACTTCGACCAGTCTTCAATTTCCTTTAAACCATCCAATTCTGAACCCAGATAGAAAAAATCTCAGATACGGAATTACCTTTATCACTTTGAATTAATTGCATACATCGGTCTCGCAATTGTTTGTTTTTCAATTCATCCACTATTCCCTTATTGGGTTTGTGAAAATTTCGGCCTCCATGGAATTCTTGGTACATTGGTATATTGTTGTTCTGACGTTTTTTGTTTGTTGAATGAACGTTATCTTGATTGGATATAAATATATTTTCAGCTTGATTTTGTGCGTTGATCAGATCCATTTATTGGTCTCTTATTTTGCAAGACTAGTGGAAAATATTTTCCATCTGCGACTTTCTCCTCTGTTTAGGATGCGAACATACGCCCATGGAATTTAAAGAAGTTTGGAATTCTTCTGATTTTTGTCCCATCTGTTTACAATATCTGGAAACTGTTTCATTTTAGAAATCAATAAATATATGACCAGTTTTCGAGCAATTCTACACGTCGGCTCATACATTTCACGGCGGAGAAAGGTTTTGCATGTACTTACATCAATTACACAATATAGGTCCTTCTTAAATTTATCAATAAGAAAACAAATTGTTTATCTCCGTTTCATGATGTCAATTTTAACTGCGTTTCCTATTTTACTTACTCAATTAGAAAAATATGTTGAGATCAATTCCCGCCATCACACATAGTTTCAACTTTATTCGTTGAAATGACTAAATGGTTTGAGAGATCAACTCATAAATCAAAGCCATTTGGTAAATGCACCCTAAATATTGTGTTCGCAGTAGACAGGCAGAAAGCAACCACTTGCTGCTTCGCACCCTGTTTCAATCAAGCCATGTTTGTTATTTTAGAACTGTAAAAACAAACACGAACCGTTTTATTTCAACTGGAATTATTTCAAACTGTCAATTTGACTACTGAAGAACTTATAGCATTTGCCGATGAACATATTTGAAAAGGGCACTTACTCAAAACAGCACTTATTCAATATTATTTAACATATGCGGTATTATGACTAGAAATTTGTTAGAAAAAAATCTTGAACTTTTTTGTTTTGGTTCCAATGAAAGGTAAGCACTATGTATAACTAAAAAATAAATTTGACGCTCATTTGGGGAGCAATGGATGTCTCACATTTCAGTTACTTCGATACAGCAAGCGTAGGGGAATTGACCAATACAAACTATAATATCACTAAATTTAACTGACTAACACAGACTAAAATACAACGTGTTTGTGGTGATATCGTTTGGTGAATCGCAACGCGGCAAATCGTGGAAAGTATGGCATAATTTAATAATATTTTGACTTGATCTGCCTTTTTGATGCAGATTAGATGTTATCAAATTCGAAAAGATAAAGAAAATAATTTTATTGTACAAAAATAAATCCGTTTTTGTAATTACACTGAATGATTAAAGGTCGATTGTTGCCACTTACAACAATATATATTGAACAAACAAACGGAAAACGTCAACGCGTTTGTTGCTGACGCGCTGGCATGGGCTTCTCTATCTTTAGCTGTCGAATTCCAGTACAGAAAGTTTAAATATTGCCTATTATTAACGAGATTGATTACATCCGTTGCAATTTAAACAACACAAAATAACACATATCAGCGGATGATCCTATAGTTATTGTTCGAGGCAAAAAGCGTTAAAAATGCCTCATACTAAATGTTGAAATCGACTCTGAGAGTTCTGAACTTTAACGTGTAATACATTCAATTCCAACATCATCATTCTAAATGCGACACTGTAGATATTTTATATCTACTAAACAAGAATGGTCAATATCAAATTTAAATTATATTTCTAAACCACTGATGAAATCTCGTTGTTCAATTTAAAAAAAAAATTGAAAAGCGTGAACTATATAAATTAATTCTTAGTCTTCACTATTTATTTTATTTAATTCACATTTAGATGAAAAAAGAGATCAAGAGTTTGCAGAACATATCAAAAACTATTGAATACAAGAAAATTGTTTCCAAAGAAGATGAGAATGTCATAAAATCATTTCAAAAATGGAAAATAAAAGTAATTTCATGTCATTTTCGTCAATACACTTAACGTGATTGTCCGAATTTTAATGATACAGATTTGATTAGATATTGGGAAACAAGTTTGTACTCTCAGAATTTAAGGAAATATGTGGAAATTATTATGTGGTTATATTATAATTGTTCTTCCGAATAACAGTGTAATCAAAGCACAGTTGCAACAAACTTTCAAGTGTTACTCACAGTTTATAAGAAAAATATTAATTTTAAGTAATTGCTTTAAATTTTTCATCTGATGTTTGTTGTGTTTTGCATGTACATTATACAAGGTCAAGTATTGATAAAGACAAGATAAGATGATTTAATAAGCATTCGGTAAATTTTGCAGAATATACAGAAAGAAGAAATTGAGCAAAAGAGAGAAGAAGTGAGATTATTCAGTCATGAATTGAAGACTAAAAAAGTAAGTATGCTTCAAAACAAGTTACCTTAAATGTAGGACTTAGGTATTCAGCAAACTTTACAATATTTTTGGGATAACAGATGCAGCATCCCAAGTTACATGTCAGTCCAACAACATTTACTTTGATCCAATTTTAAAATCAATTTTTATTTAAGTTCATTTATTTATTTATAATTAAACTATGCAGTTATTATATCAGGGGTGTGGCATTCGTTTTTCTTGAAACTGTACACAACTGAAACGTTGTATAATTTGAACATTTCAATAGAAGGCTGTTGATTCAAAACTAGTGGAGCTGAAAAATATGTTGAAGGATACAAAAAAATGCCAAAATCTATTCCTGAGCGAAGAGAAAAAAAAAATTTCAATTATAAAGAAATGGATATCTCAGCACAAGGTAAATTTTAGTTATATTAATACCTAAATATATCTTAAATTTGTTCAATTTCCTCAAGACTTCTGAGTTACAAGAAATCAATGAAAAACTGGAAGAACTACAAAAGATACAAGAGAATGCCACCGAGAGAAATATAAAGTCCAAAACGGTATTTTATAATAAACAAAGATCTATATAATCTAAGCTTATTCAAATATCGAGTATCGTGATAATATAGAAGTTTAAGCTATCAATCTCATCAATCAATTTATAAATATATTGGAAGCAAGTATAAAATTTGTTCATTGTAGCATTAGAAATGACAAACAACATGATGCAATAAATTTAAAGCAAATACCAATTCAAATTACTATTATATATTATTAACATTTGTTAAAAGCCTGGTATATTGTTTCTCGTTTTCAGCGAATGCCAAAATCAAGAATAACTTCAATATATCGAAAAAAAATTACCAGTATTTGTATTGCTTGTACTGAAAACTAATTTTACAACTGAAAATACGACGAGATGGTCCAATTTTAATTTACCTTCTTGACTAGTTTTAAAACAACGGACTATATAAAATTTCAGTTTCTGAAGGAACTGGTTTATTGATTGTTTTTCATCATTATTTTTATACATACCAGTCACGTGACTTATTTTATGTTGATGGTAACCACGCACTACTTAGTCAATACTTCTTAGTAATACTTCTTCTCAATACTTCTTCATCTTTTGTATGACAAAGTATTTGTAAATAAGTATCTATATAATTTCCAAAAGATGACCTATTTATGATATAAATAAGTTAGTTTAGTGAGAAATGTATACAAATAAAAAGTTTACATAGCGGAGTAAATTTATTTTTGAATACGAATATTGAAGTCTTTGTGTGTTACCAAATATGATGAGAATTGTCTGTGAGAGTTCGTTAAGTACTGACCAATTAAACTTCGACAATGTAGAAAACTACATATACCTTCAAAAATTTGATATGCCGTGACCTTGTGACCAGTCAAGTTCCGCGCTTAAATTTTCGTTGTTTTGGGGATCTAATCTTAATTTGATGAATGTAAGTCATGTTAAAGTTAAACAATTCGTGGTTAAAGTGTACGTTTCAATGCGAATATATAATTAAGTGCATTAATATTTTGGAAACTGGTCATCTTTGTAATCAATCTTTACCGCGTACCTTGCAACATACTTTAATAAATATCCAGCTTTACTACAGAAATGCAGGATCAAAATTTATTAATTTATATTCATATAATCAATGAATTTAAGACAATTTATAAATCATGTGAATCATTATTTCAGTAATATAAACACATATGTTTTTTTTTATATTTTGATAAAATAATGTTTTTTATTGATATTAAACAAATTTTGCTGAAATTTCGCCTGCAAAATAAAAAGAAAGCGGAAAGGCGATTAGATGCAAAAGACAGCTTAATGGAGATGTTACATTCAATCAGCAACATTTTGAATAACGAGGAACGTATAAGCAACTTCACTGCGGAAGAGAAATCAAAACTCGAGCAAGAGTGTAAACATGCGCATACATGGTGCAGTAAGAATCCGGTTAGTTTGAAACAATTATGCACAAATCATCAACTATTGTTTCATAGATCGAAGTTTTCGTTGGACACAAGCGAATAAAAATTGTACATATAACATTGCCCTTAGTATAATGTATATGTTTCGATCGAAGTATTTGGACGATTGTAAACATCTTTTAATTAATTAATCAGTAATTTCAATTCCGACGGTTTTTTAAAAACATCATATCTTCTTACGCCATCTTTTTTTCTATTTAGCAAATGGCAGGCTACTATCTAAAAAATAATTGATGTAGCTGATGCTTTTTCCCAGTGTACACATATTCATATATTACTATAAAATGACTCTGGGTTCTATATAACGCTATTGCTATTCTTATAATCGTATAATTAATTTTTTCCTACTTCCTGGATGATTTTTATGTCACTATTAGTGTATGCGGTGTAGTCAGTATGCAAAATAATTGTATGGGGAGAATACATTTGCATGTGCTTCTCGTCAACCTGATAGTCGTAGAACTAGATTGCTATATTATAAAAATCTTTAAAGATTACAATTTAAAAAATTCATTTCCACCAGAATTTGCATTGCAGAGCATTGCACATCACAAATTGCATTAATATGCGTGGATAAATAAAGTTACATATTTATTGTATTTTAATCTTCAATCTTGTCGAGGTAAAATTTTTACTATCGACTCAAAACATTGTTATTGCTGATGTGGAATAGTAGATTTGACAAAGTTATACAAGTTTATTTACTAAATTTGCTCATAATTATTAACACTAATACCCATAATTTAAATATGTAGACTTTGAATTTAAATCATTTTTCATATTTCAGTATTCTCCTCGTGAAGATTATGCAACAAGATTGGGCAAACTTCGAAACACTGCAATGCCGATTCTCAATCGCATTGGAATTGCTGAACTCTAGTTTACACAATATTTAAAAGTTGCTTGCGATTACGTAGTTTATTCGCATAATCATGATTATTTAGAAAACTAAAATTCTTTATTTTTTGAAATGGCGTAAAATTTAATATTTAATGATAGATCAATTCAAATGAAATAAATGAACTACATTATTACAGTATATATCTGTCTGTCTGAATTGTGCAATCTCGCTTTCACATTGCCATCTGGTATTGGTGTTTGCTGATTATTTTTTAATCAAAGTTATTCGTTGTACTTGTGTATTTGCTTTACAGATTCACATTGTAGTATTACGTGATTTTTAATATTATGCATATGTACATATCAACATATATACAATTATTATTATGTGCAATTTAATTTACAATAGCTTGTGATAACATAAAAATATTACTGAGGAGCTATTATCATATTACTGATAAAGTATTTAATAAATTGTAATAAAGTTCAACACATAGAGATATGAATGTTCACCTATATTTTTATTGTTATTTTAAGCAGAGACGTGCAACTGTTTATCGCCTTGGGACAAACCTAAAATAATGGCGACGTTCGAGGCCGGAGCACCGAAAATCAAATGGCACAGCACGCTTCTGTGCTGTTTCATACTTCTTTTAGTATTCAAAAAAATTACTTTGTTCAACCTTTCTGGGAAAATTTACAGATAGACACTGACAAAACGCTTGGCTCAGTAGGTCTCTATTAGTTCGTAGAATTCAAACGACTAACAGAAGTCCAACAATAAATTGGAATGTCTGTCATTAGCAAAGGTCTCTAGAGTATATTTAAATCTTGTTTGCTAGATCAGGAACATTTCAAATAACAATTTTAAGGTACCACGGTCATATGCAAACGGAAAAACATTAAAATAATCCGAAGTTTAAATACATATACAAAGCTAATCATTAAAAAATTCTTATTGCAAACTACAGATTTTCTCCAAGATGAAGATTTGCCTAAGATTCATGATGAAAATTGCGCAAATCGTGAGCCCTGATTATAGAGGTGCGTTAAGGGTGCGTGTCGCTAAAGACCTGTCCATCGAACAACTCATTAATTGTAGCAACTCGAGGTTGAGTTTGTAAGTGCTCGTCTGCAAGCAGTCATTTTAGTTGAAAAAAGATATTGATAGCAAATGTTCGCATAAGTGATTAAAAATATCTTACAGCGGTATGTTATGCCAAAAAAAAAATCATTTTTAGGCATAATGTAATGTAACTAGTGTGAAAATATATAGATCATTTTCATGGTAGGTTTGTTTGTAATCAACGATTGCTTGTAAATATGTCCATTTTCGACATTTTACGATAGATTGTCTAATCGGCAACCACGATTAAAAATAAGAGACATATCGGATCCAATAAATATTTCTTTTCCGTAGACACTTTTTGACGTATATTTTCAGCCAGTATTTTGTTCAAGGTATCGTCAGATATCAAATATGAGAAAATATACTTAAATGTTTGACTTTGTTTTTGTCCCATACCGACAATATATCTATTATTAGGAAAACAATATTCTTTTGATGGAGGAGTTGACACTTGGGTCTCAGTTTCATATTTCACGACTTGGGGGTACTCAACAGGAAAATGTTGAAAACCCCTGCTGTAGAGGATAAATAAATCGCAATGTAGTCGCAAGGTGGCAATGAAAATAAAATTTCTAACAACGATAAAAACATCGTCTTCTTCATTGCTTGATTTTGCGTTATGTAATATTCCTTGGTATGTTATAACTTTAGCATAAATTTGCAGACAACTTGTTTACACAACTATTTATTCCATCGTTTGGCTATTGTAATCTGCTCGCAGGGTAAAAGTATGTTTCCTCGGGAACTACATGCAGATCCAATAAATGCAAATAACTTAAAATCACGACATAACATTTAACGGTCTGGGAGAACAATTTTAAGTTCTTTAAAATCAAACATTTGACTTGATTAAAAAAGCTAAAAAACGAATATAACTGTCTTTTTATACTTTGGTAAATAAAAGCTTATGCAACGCTTCGGTGCAGTCAGATTTTGCAACTCCTGAAAAACTTTTCCAACGTGTACATTCCTGCTCATCGATTTTGAAATTGGTTGACTTCGAAAGGTTTACGAGGCATATGAACGTGTTCTACAGTTTGTTTAATTCATGTTTGTAGGCAAATATTTTCTGAAATCTTCGTAAAATGTTATCCACGTAATTGTTTTGCTAATTTATAAAATAGTCACTATATTATAGTATATATTTTTTCAATTTATTTTGGCGAGCATTTGCTTATCAAATGACGTAAAGCGGAAACCAAATTTATTTCCTATATTTTGATTAGTAACTATATAGATTCGAAGCTTGGGATTTAAATTTAAAAATCTAAGAAAAAATGAGATCTGCCATGAAACACATATTTTGACAGATAAGTATTTTCATAAAAAATATAATGTTTAAACTACGTGTGTCACGCAAAAGGCGGTTAAGACGACATCAATTGGCGACCCAATACAGACTGCCCCCGTCTTACATTGATGTCAACATTTGATTATAACATTTGCCTTTTTACAAAGTATTGTGGGGTAAAATTTAATTGTAAACGTTCGTTATCCGTGACTGTCCAATCGGGGAACGATGGCTTTCTATCTCCGTGAAATGAAATTGTACTATAGTTGAAATTATGAATATATATATATATTTTTTGTTTTCTAAAAGGTATTAAAATGTGT